ACCGCATTCATACCCCCCCTTGAACAAAAGAACAACGGAGCCCGAGGCCATGCCGAGGGAGTCAGGTTTTCTCCGAGGGTGCACAGACCAACGTTGGAAGGTTTCTGATGTGGGGGGGTGTCAGAAGGTCCGGAGTTTGTTTGTTCAATTTGGGGGAATCAGGAACAAAGGGCATCGCTACTAGGAGCAAGGACGAGGAGAGGTCACCCAGATTCAAATATCCCGTTCTTGAAAATGAGGAGGGATCCGGCTGTGGGATGGGCACCGATGTGCTGGGTTGGCCGGGCCAAACTTGGAATAGGAACTGATTAAGGAAGGATGGGTTGGATTCAGGGAGGGTAGGAAACCGAAGGGTTCTTTCAGGAGTGAGAGGTGAGGGATGCATTTGGCAAATGATTGGGAGCTAAAAAGTTGTTTTGTTGGACAGGAAAAGACTGAGACAGACAGACAGACAGACAGACAGACAGAGAGATTCCAATGGACTAATCTACTAGCTCTTGTTGTACAAAGATCCTGGACCCTGGCGATCATAAGAGCTAGTGAGGCCTTCTTGGTGAGGAATGCACATTTTCAGACGTTCATACGCTCCATGGCTGGTCATCTCCTGACATGTCTTGCTGGCTGTGTCCGGCAGCATCGACCGAAAGCGACCCTATCCGACTCGTGCGGCGACATTCCGGATGTGAAGCTCGGCGTTGAGCGTTGGCAAAATCACGGTGACGAGTAGCAGCAGCAACAGCAGCAACAGCATAATGTGCTCCAAAACTTGACAGTGTCGCCGCGTGAGAGAGCACACACTGGGTGATGTCAAACTAAAGTCGTTGTCCCTTTTCTTTCTTTGTTGTTTGCTTGTGTGCTCATTTTTGTTTGGTGTGTCGTTCTCAAGCGGTAACACAGTTGCTACCATTTCTTCATCTAAAGGAAATCACATTTGCATATACACGCATACACATGTAGGAAGTTGTTTGATTAAAGTTGCGAAAGCCAGCCTTCGTAGAAGGCGCCAGCTGAGTTGTGCTTGGCGAACGAAGTGAGTAGTTAGGGGGTCTGGGGGGGTGGCCCGCAAAAGGTACACGTAAACTCGGCACATGCTGGGGGAGGAGGGTGGACGGATGGAAGGTTTTTTGAGGTTGTGTTGGAGGTGATTTTTGAGGGGTGGTGATGCAAGAAATGCAATTTGCATCATTTGCATCATCTGAATGGGTAAGGTGTAGTTGGCACCTTGCCAGGTATAAATACCCAGGGTAGCTATAGTGCAGTTACCAGGTATAGTGCTTCAAGTTCCTTTCCATCAACCGCTCGATAACCTTTACACACGCACAGCAATCCGCAGCTTTGAAGTCTCATTCTTGCATTGAACTTATATAGGTGTGTAAGAGGTATAGCAATATAGCACTCATACGAACCCTGGGTCCGTATAAATGCTATGTTGCTATACCTCTTACACACCTATATAAGTTCAAAGCACGAATGAGACTTCAAAGCTGTGGTTTGCTATGCATGTGTAAAGGTTATCGAGCGGTTGACGGAAAGGGAACTTGAAGTATATACTATACCTGGCAACTGAATTGTAGCTACCCTGGGTATCTATACCTGGCAAGGCGCCAGCTGAGTAAGAAAGGGGGTTCGGGGGGGTGGCCTGAGAAAGCACACTCGAAAGTAGGTGGTGTGTAGGGGTGCACGGAAGCCAGGTTTTGGAGGTGCTTTTTTGTGATTTTAAGAAATGCAATTGTCTTCGGTTGGTTGCAGTGCTATACTTGGCAACTGAATTGTAGCTACCCTGGGTATACCTGGCAACTGCCTTGTAGCTGCCCTGGGTCCGCGCGCGCGCGCGCCCTAAATCACGGGCAGCCGGGAGCCAGCAAGGCGCGCGCGTGCGCGGACCCAGGGTATGGAAACTGAAGTGGGATACCTGGGTCCGTATAAATGCTATGTTGCTATACCTCTTACACACCTATATAAGTTCAATGCAAGAATGAGACTTCAAAGCTGTGGATTGCTGTGCGTGTGTAAAGGTTATCGAGCGGTTGACGGAAAGGGAACTTGAAGTATATACTATACCTGGTAACTGACTTGTAGTTACCCTGGGTATCTATACCTGCGCCAGCTGAGTAAGAAGGGGGATTCGGGGGGTGGCCTGAGAAAGCACACTCGAATGTAAAAACGCTGGCTTTCGTTTTGCAGCTTCTCAGGTATCAACGTAAACTAAATATATATATATATATATAACTATATGTATTAATCTCCTAAAGTTGTGAGCGTGCAGTTTGCTCTGCGCAAATTTGGAAACACATGAAGACAATATGTTTGCACATGTTGCTCAGAAGCGACAATAAGCGACATGCTGGTTTGCGCACTATGCTGATGCAACGTGACATTGTTGGGGTGAACCTGTGAATCCTTTTTACTTGTACTTTGTATGGAATGTGTCTTCCGGATGACGTGCTGCAGCCGGACGTGCTAGCAGCGGCAGAGGCAGTCTTGCAAGACAGCACCTTCAAGGAGACAAAACATGGCATCGGCTGCTGGATTCTTGACCGGGCGAGTCTCTGTTTGATTGGGCCAGTTGCCTTCGCATTGAGGAATCATTTGCCAGCCGGAACAGACCGTGTAATTTGTACGGATTCTGTTCTCCTGCTGCAACTGGAAATGCTAGCAGAGCAGAGGCGGTCTTTATACCACCTTCAAGGAGACCAAGCATGGCATCGGCGGCTGGTTTCATGACCGCAAGTCTTTATTTGATGCGAATTGAAAAATCCATGCCAGCTCTCACACAGCCAGTGACCAGAGTGACCTGAGGTTGCTATGGCACTGACAGTAGGGGAAGTTTTGGAGGAGGTTTGGGATGGAATGGAAGCAAACGTGTCAGATTCGTGAGAAATAGTGTGGAAACGTATGGAAACGTAACATGTTGAAGTGCAGAGGATGCTTTTGCTGCCCAGGTGCAGCGTTTTGTTCCCTTCGCTGTGACAGTGAGATTGACCTTCGCAGGGTGGTCTGTTGGAGGTGTTGAGACAACTGGGGAGCAGCAACTGGGTTCAATTACTTCCCACCCGACACTGCGACACCGACACCCTCCAAACAACATGAATCACCTTCGCGGATTCCCCGGCCGTGTTGGTCTACACGCACCATGTAGGACGCAGTGATACCTGAGCCAAATGTACCAACCAAACTCGAAGTTCCTTCCGCTGTCAGGCTCTGGGGCACGCACCAGCCGCTGTCAGGGCGTGGAGGCCGGAAAAGAAAGGTAGAAGCAGCTAAAAAGGATGGCGGTTGATGCACTTCCCCTGCTCCTTGGGGAGATTAACAGAAACATCTTGCAGCCGACTACAAAAGACCGGCGATTTTCCGGAAAGCAGGATAGATAGCCCGGGGCCCCAGGTTAACGCTCATGGTCGAGATCTAAAAACCCACCACCACCAAGCATTTGGTCAATGTGCGAGTCGACGGCGAACGGCCCCCATTCATGATGGCGTGATTAGCTGAGTTGGTTTTTTTAGACTTGGGCATTTAGGGAGTTAGGTGATGGTAGCCATGGCAGTTTGCATGATGAACATTGAACATGATAAAATCAGTTGGGTTACAAAGAAGGCAAACGCCTATCACAAACACCTGGAGAAAACATGCAATACAATTTTACATGGTTTTCTTGACGCTAACTATTCATTCTGATTTACAACTTTCCAAGTCATCAAAATTGTTAATGACCACCCGGTCCACTATTTTTGGGTTCACCTCGTCACACATACTGGGAACATGCTTGACGGTTTGACGGCACGTGCTTGCACTGGCAGTGCGGAGGATCAGTCGCTGCTGGCATGTCAGCTCTCCTTGGACGAGCTGGGAGTCCTCTTCGAGCTACCGGCCATCGGCAGTGGGGACAAGGCTAAATCTGAAAAATTATGAGACATGCATGGTTTCATGGTGTGGTGTGCGGTGCAAAATACTGAGTAAGGGCCTTGGGTTTGCTTGTTGTGAGAGGCCGTGCACTGTATCTATTTGAGCCATTTGACCTCACAAAGAGCTTTTCTCCCAGCTGGCAATGGCAAAGAGAGGGAACGCGCAAATGCTAAGCCCGATGAACAAACTACACCAAAACAGCCTTAAAGTGTTTGGATTTCCCACAATGAATTCTCATCCAAAGCGGAAACCTTTAGACATCGTTAGACGCGTTGAAACCTTTCCTGTGTGGTAGCCTCGTCAGAAATCCACATGTGGAAGACAGGTCCGTTTTGATCAAACCAGCAGGGAACTAGGGAACTCATGGTCTCTTCTGTTTTCTACTTGCAGCAAGGTCGTGTTTCAACAGGCAGGCTGTTGGTAGTCAATTTGCATGTGGATTCCGTATGGGGCTGGTTTTTTTCAGGCCTGAAGTATCAGAAGTGTTCTCAGGGTGACTCTTGTGTGGCGGCAAGACATCGGGGGCATGTGAGAAACAGGGTTGACTGGTTGATCAATAGATCAGCCCCACTCAGTTGCTACGTGTGTTTGTCGCGTGGACTTCGTTGCGACGTCGTCGTTTAGTCTCAGGGGCTCTCAGGTGTTCTTCCTTTAACCGTTGAAACGACGATCAGATTAAACAATAACGGTGACCGTGATGGTCAGGTCGACCACATGCCGATGTAGGTTCCTCCGGAGGGATCAAGGGTTGTTTAGGAGTGTAGGATTATAGAAGGATTTAGGACGTGGAGGCTTTAGATGGCTGTTTGATGCTGTTTGACATCAATGCTTAGACGACACGAGAAGATGTGAGACTAATTATATAAAGATCCGTGTCGTGTATGTTTGCTGAGAGGACCTGCTTTGGTGCGTTTGTCTCCAGGAGCAAAAACATTGGTGAGAAAAATGCCAACAACGCTGGCATTGTTCTCACCATTTCTCACCCATGTTTGTCAGTTGCAAAACAAATCTATTGTCAATTTAAACATATCACAGACCCAGTTTCGCCCAAAACTCCACACCTAGACCCCCGGAAACTGCATCCCGTTCCACCGGTCATGTCATCGTTTTCCCCTAACAAACCATTCCATTCCTTTTCACAGCCGCCGCCGTGCCGCTGTACAGCACTGCTTGCTGCGCACCTCGTGCGGAGCGCAGAGCTCGCTTCGCGCCAAGCGCAGGCCTCAGGCTGGCACGACTACTTGGGCCTCTACGAGCGCCTGATTCTGCACTTGCCCTTGACGGCGGACGTCCTGGAGTTCGGCGTGCTTCGGCGCAGCCCAGACTTCGTTCCGGTCCGGTCCACCCCGCCGGCGGACGGGACGCCTCTGGGGCGCCATGGGCCAATGGGAAACCAAGCGAGTCGCAGCTGTTTTGCGGACCTAGAGGTGGATGAAATGAGTCCATGATCATCCATAATCCATGGATTTCTAGACTGAAACACATATGTGTGCTCCGTAGCTTATTACTATACGACTATATATATATATATATATACATATGATTTAATGTGTGTGTGTGTGTCAAAACGGTCGATACAATCAGATATAATCAGATAATCAAACACGATTACCAGATGTTGCGTGGATTTCCTTGAGTAGTTATGGACCATGATTGGATGACTTCGAACAGACCCACGACGAGTTCATACGAGTTCTCAACGAGCAGACGGTGGACGAGCAGACTGGGCCCGTGTTACAAAAAAACACAAAGAGAGCCCAGTGGGGCCTCAGGATGCCTTGTCCGTTTGTCCTGTGTCAAAGTAGATTCTTTTTTAAGACTAGACTCGACGCAATGGTGTGGGCTTTCTGAAGTGGCCTTGCAATATAGATACAGTTCTGGTCAATCGGAGTAGGAAGAGACATGGCTACAAAGTACAGCTGACATGTTTACGCTTAATCTCTTCGCGGAAGATGCACTGCTTCATGACAAGATATTGAAGAAAGGGTGGCAGGAACTCACCTCTTTGTGGATTCCATCCATCGGCGGCTCCCACGAGACCTGAACTTGTTGATTCCAAGGTGCGGATGGGCTCCTCCCTGGCCATGTGGTCGGAGTACTTCCCTTTGGGCCACGTGGTAGGCCGGAAGTCCCGCAAGTCGCCGTTTCTTTTTTTTTTCCGTGGCCCGTGGCCGTGGTTGGTGGTTGTGGTGTGCACATGGGGGGCACATGTGATGGATGGCTTTCAGATCCGACCGTGTGACCAGTTCAGTCAGGCCATTCGACCGCTCAGATCCGACGCAACGATCATGTGCTTTCGCCACCGCTTTCAGCGGCAACTGGAGCGATCCAACATGGTCGAACCCCATCAGAAGCCAACGAGAAAAGCGAAACCCACGGCCCAAGTGGTGGCATCCTTTGGGAGGCATCGACAAGAACTTGGGCACCTTCTTCCAGAGAGGGCGACCGGCGATGGCCTTAGCTTCCCAAGAAGGGGCTTGTGCGTGGCAGTACGTAGGGTGACTAAGGGCACACTTTGGATAAGACGGCTGGAACCTAGATCAGTAGTTCCCACCAACAAAGATTATGCTTTCGGCAGAAAGACCCCCGCAGAATGATGATTAAAGGAGAACACAATTTTCCCACAATACTGCCCATGGTACGTGGTACGGACAATTTAAACTGAGTTTAACTGACTGATTAAAAAGGGCGCACAATATGGACAACCAATGTTGACCAATGCTGCGAATGCTGATTATGCACTTGGTGGGGTGCACGCTGGATCAACACTCAGATTGAAAGGCTAAAGGTACGGCCCCTTTGATTCCATATCGTGGCCCATTGCGACACAACTAAGACTGAACCGGGGTTCACCAGGATGTTCTTGGAATTGTTTCTGGAAGAATATTTGGATCTTCCAAATTTGTTTGCAGATCTGCGCTCAAAACGGCTCCGGTTCAGCCCAGGTCCTGACGGATCACGGCGCCTTCACTCGAGGCGAACGCGTTCCGGAGCAGACTCCGACGGGTTTTGGGTCTAGAAAGGGACAGATGTGGAAAGAACGAACTGTTGTTAGTTGTTGTTGGTGGTGGTTGTTGGTTGTTGGTTGTTGGTTGTTTGTTGCTTGTTGTTTGTTGTTTGTTGTTGTTGTTGTTGTTGTGGTTGTCGTTGTCGTTGTCGTTGTTCGTTGTTCGTTGTTCGTTGTTCGTTGTTCGTTGTTCGTTGTTCGTTGTTCGTTGGTTGTTGGTTGTTGGTTGTTGGTTGTTGGTTGTTGTTGTTGTTGTTGTTGTTGTTGTTGTTGTTGTTGTTGTTGTTGTT